GTCCTCACAACTGTTCCCACAACTGTCACAGCCTCCTCGTGGGGGTTGTCCCTTTACACCTCCCCAGCTCACTGTGGACTGGGAAATAAAGGCTGAAGGGTTTTGGTAACTCACAGCTGAACCTCTCCCTCCTTCTGGTCAAAGGGAGGGAAAACAGGGCCCTGAACAGCAGCATTGAGGATGTCCCACTGTTCACACCATCAGCCACTTTCCCAGAAAACAAACTACATAAAAGAACGGAAAAAAGAAAGAAAAAAAGAAAGAAAGAAAAAAATAAAAGCCTTGAGAATATTCAACATTTATTAAAAGTGCAATAAAAATAAACAGTTCTCCTGCCCCTGGGACGAGGGAGCAGAAAGACCAGCCAGGAATTACAGCCAAGGTGTGTCACTGTGCATTTGTTCAGACCTTTGGCTCAGCACTAACACCCCAACCATGAGGAGTCCTTCCCATTCCAGGGATGCAGGAGGACTGGGACATCAGCCCTGTGCCTGCTCTGGGGGTTCAGGCACTTTGTCCTCGGACCCAAAACCGCTCTGGGGGTTCAGGCACTGGCTTTCAGACCCAAGGCTCCCCCCAGAACACATTTCCAGGCTGATGGATCCTGCAGGAAGGGGTTCTTTGGCAGGACTTAGGGCTGGGACTGCAGGAAACACCAAGGCTTAAGAGAGCTGGAACGCTCCACTGGGTGACACGCTCGTCTCCTGGCACTGGCCAGGTCACAAACACAACCTACAACACCCCTATCAGCAGATACAACACTTGCCTTGCCACAGAGGTGCAGGGGGGGTGGAAAAAAGGGGTCGTGCAGCAAAGGAATGGCAGAGCTGCATCAAGCTTAGAGGGGCCCAGCTCCAGAAATTCAGCTCAGATCATCAGGCTGCTCTCAGGAGGGGTGGCTAAAAGCTCAGTGCACAGAGCTGTGTCCCTGCTCCTCAGCACCCAGGGGTGGCACCTCAAGCTCAGCCCCACGAGGATGGAGGTGCTCCTCTGGTGCCTCCAAATTCTGCTGGAGAGTTAAAGAGTTTGCAGGCTGCAGGCTCTCACACGGGGAGCGGGGATCGTTCCAACGTGGCTTTTTGCATAAAAATCTAGAACTGCTACAGCCAAAAAGGAGGTGTGAGGAGAGCTATCAGCTGGGTCCAGGCAGTGCCCTCCACTTCTCACCCTCACAGAGGCAGAGTTACTGCAGGATTTAGGCTTGAGAACGTTTTGTAGCTTAGAAATGGTTGACCCGATGAAAACGTGACAGGTTCTGCTAAAGCCCCGAGTGGGCAACAACCCTGGGAAAGCTTCAAGCAAAGAGTTGTCTCTGCTCCTTTGTGTGTAAAAAATAAGAATTTTAAATTAAAAAAGTAAAAAAAAAACCAACAAAACCAAAAAAACCAACCCTGAAGCTGAGCCTTGATGCCCTAATGAATGTCCAGAGGCACTTTCACATAAATATCAACCTACTGATGCAGGGGGAGAGTGGGAGGAGATGCTTCTCATGAATAAGTTAGGATAAGGCATGTTCTTGGGGGCAGGTTCTCAGGCAGCTTCTCCCCTCCTCTCCAAATCCAAGGTGCTTGGGGAAGGCAAGACAGGCCAAAAAAAAAAAAAAAAAATTGTCCTCAGTCGCAGAGCTTGGGAAGGGTGGACGTAAACACTGGAAATCCTGTGTTCCAAAAGCAGAAGGAAGAAGGGTGGCAGGTTTGTAACTGGGAGAAAATAAGATTACAGAGCCAGTGTGTGAAGTGTCTCCCACTTGCTTTTACACACACAGCTCAGCCTTGTCCCCAGAGTCCCACAGCTCCCTGATATAACAGCCTGAAAAGCTGCTATTAATTGATAATATTGAATGCTGAGAACACTGTGATTCCCCCCCTCGCTGGGAACATTACAAACGTGTTTCTCTGTCGAGATCTCACTCTCCCCCACCCCCACTTTTCTCCCACAGCCACATTTTTAGGCTCCATCCAATTCCACCACCCATTTGCAGGCAGAGCCTCTGAGAGACGTGGCCAGGCCGAGCTGCAGAGGAGCTGGTCCAAAAAAAAAAAACAAAAAACCCAGCCTGGTGGTGACACTCTGGGTGACCCCCAGGGGAACATTCCTACCTGTGGAGCCTCCACGAAGCTCCTCTATCGCCCTGAATTACTCATCCCTGAAACCTTCGGGCTTTTGATGGTGAGGTTCTCGTAGAGGACGGAAGCTGACTCCTCATCCACCCTGCCAGGAAACAAAGCCCTGTCATCAACAGCCTCACGGCTCTGGATCTTTGCCCAGAGGCTGGTGGCCAGTGGGAAGTGGGGAATGGCCCAGCCAAGCTCCCTTTTTGCCCTGCCCAGCCTTGTATATGGGGTGACAGCGTGTTCCCATTGTTCTCATTCCCTGTTTTCTCCCCCTCTGGCTCGGCCACCCCTTCTTGGTTCAAATGCTTGGGAATGTAAATGACACGTGTCCCCACCCACTCACCTTCAATCACAGTCCCCTCTCCAGCACTCACAGGTGTCCCATTACTTGGGGCAAGGGCAAAAACATAATTTAGGGTAATTTATCTCTGCCTATGCAAGGAATTCATGCTCCTTAGCCCATGCTCCTTCTCCAGATGGACTCAAATCCACCTCCCTCTGCTCTTGTCTCATCTTCCTTCAGACTAAAGTGGCAATGGCACAGTTTCCCTCTCCAGCTGATTCTCCAGAGCCAGGGATAACAGGACACTACTCTCTTAAGGAGTATTTATATATCTATAGATATCCTTATATATATAAAGACATATATATATATTTATACCCCTGCTGCTGACAGTGGGCTGGGACCACCCATTTATTTGGGCCATTCCCACACGATACCCAGCAACTGGTCAGGATTCAGGTGTGGGTAAAGACACTCTGGAAAAGGACAAACATGGGGAGAGTCCCTCAGCTTACACAGAGGGGGTCCGTGGGGAGGGGGGCTGCCCTTTGGCTCTGCCCTTTTCCATGGGAGGGTAGCCAATGTTCAGGTAGTCCCGTTCTTTCCTTTTATTCCTCTGGAAGACAAAGCAAAGACAACAAAACCCCCACTTAAGGCGGGTAGAGAGGAAAAAAAAAAAAAAAAGCTTTCCAAGTTGGGGACGAATCACAGGTCGGACTCGATCTCGGAGGTCTTTCCCAACCTCAGCAGCTTTGAATTTGAGTTCCAGGGAGAAGGTGGGATGGTGTTCCCTTCCAGCCAAGCCCAAGGGGGACATTCCCTCACCTGTTCTTCTTCCAACCTCTTCTGCTCAGCCTCGATGAACTGCTGCACTGCCATGTAAACAAACTTGTACTGAGCCTCCGTCTGCACCATCCCCGAGCGCTGCCGCCGCACCATCTGGATCGTCTTGGGGATGTCGATGTCACAGTCCAGACCTGCTCCAGAGCCAGCAGAGTGATGGTTATGGAATGAAAATTAATTCCAAGAGTGGCTTCCCCTAAGACAGTCTGAAAGCTCTCGCTCTCTGGCTGCTCAGGAAGGAAGGGCTGGGGAAAGGCTGAGGAAGGGATGAGAAAGGGATGAGGAAAGGCTGAAGAAAAGCTGAGGAAAGGATGAGGAAAGGCTGAGGAAGGGCTCAGGAAGGGCTGGGGAAAGGATGAGGAAGGGATGAGAAAGGGATGAGGAAAGGCTGAGGAAAAGCCGAGGAAAGGATGAGGAAAGGCTGAGGAAGGGCTGGGGAAAGGATGAGGAAGGGATGAGGATAGTCTGGGGAAGGGGTGACTTGCTTGGAGCAAAGGGAGAGGAGGGGAACTAGGTGTGTTCTGCAGCAACTTCCCACAAATCCAAACTTCCCACCCTCGAAAGGTTTGTAAAATCGATTCAAAGAAGCTCCAGCTGCATCAGGGGCTCCTGGAACAGACCTAGAAACACCCTGGGGAGCTCCAGAACTACACTAGAATTTCAGGTAGAGGGTGACAGCCCCTCTACAGGGAAAAATTTAGGGGGGTTAGTTTGAAATCCTGGCCCCACTGATGCCAACGTGAGCCTCCCCTGGGCTGTGTTGCTGACATCATCTCCCTTCCTAGGGGGAGTGCCCATGGCCAGGCAGACATACCTTGCCTATGGATGATATCCACCAGGATGTCGATCACTATGATGGTGCCTGTGCGTCCTATTCCAGCACTGGGAAGAGAAAACAAGGAGTGATTGCAGGGGAAAACATTCCCAGAGTTAGTCAAGGCCAGTTCCATGTTCACCCCACCCTTGGCATGGCTGGGGGTGAGAGAAGCCAAGGCAAGGGATGATTCCTTGGAGATCAGAGTCTGTGATTATTGATAGATAAATATATATATTTATATAGAAATATATATTTAATATCTATTTTATATATTATATTCATATAGAATAGATAGTTTATATATTTTTATATATCATATATTTTTATATAATATACATGTCTATATTCTATTTTATATATTTTATATACATTTTACAGATGTCTATTTTTAAAATATATATTTATATATAATATACTTTAAAATTTCACACATTATATATTCAATACATAATATATTTTTATATATTATATATTTTAACATTTTACACATTACTTATTCAATATATAATATATTATTATATATTTTATACATATTATATAAAATATGTTTATAAATATATATTTAAAGATATATAAAATATATATTATATAATACATTAAACAAATATATTTAATATATAATCTATAATATATATTTGATATATATTGTATAAAAATATGTCTATAAATATATTTAAATAAATATCTATAATATATATTATATATTAGGTAATATATTAAACACATATTTATCTTTAATATATAATATATTTTATATATTGTATATAAAATATGTTTATAAATAAAATAGGATTATAAATATATTTAAATAAATATATAAAATATATAAAACATATATTATGTAACATGTTAAACACATATTTATATATTTTATATATAATCTATAATATATTGTATATAAAATGTCTATAAATATATTTAAATAAATATCTATAAAATATATATAAAATATATATTATGTACTACATTAAACACATATTTATACATTATATATAAAAAATTAAATAAATATTAAATATTTTGTACTGTATATTTTTTTTAAAATGTGTTTTTTTTACATTCTATCTCCCAGTTGCCCTCCAGCATCTCCCACGCTGACCCACGTGCACCCCCATTCCCACCCCTGCCCCCGTCTCGGTACCTGCAGTGCACCACGATGGGCCCCGTGCCCGGAATGCTCCGCTGGGCCCGGTTCACCTGGTCCAGGAAGCTGAGAACCCCTCCCGGCTCGTTGGGCACGCCGTGGTCGGGCCAGCTGAAGTACTGGTAGTGCCTCACCAGCCTGGGCCGCTCGTCCTGCCGGGGGGGTGACACCGCCACAACCTCCTGAGGGGATGGGGATGGGGGGAACCTCCCCCTCCCCCTGCCCCCAGCACAGCAACCCACGAACCGCTCCCACAACGGCCCAGGAACCGTCCCAGAACGGCCCAGGAACCGCTCCCAGAATGGGGCGACCCAAAGCGGGGCGAGCATCGCGCAGGGAAATCCCAGCGAGGGGCAAAGGCAGCGCTCCCTCCCGTTGGGGCTCCAGCCCCCCATCCCGTACCCGGGGGGAGCCATGGGATTCACTCACCCTGCCGGCCCGCAGGATCTCCAGCTCCCGCAGGAGGTAGCCCTGGGCCTCGCGCTCGCTCACGTGGCGCACGCAGATGCCCCCGAACTCCTTGGTGCTGCCCTTGTCGGGCCAGTAACGGAAGCATTTGTTCTGTGGGGACAGCAGGGAGGCTCCTCAGCCAAAATCCAGGGGGTCTGGGCCCCCCGTGGGGCAGGGGGTGATGGTGCAGCTGCCGAGGGTGCAGCTCCAGTGGGGAGGGGTAAAGGAGAGCCGTGCACACTTTGGACCTTTGGAGAAAGCCATTCCTACAGGAAATACGGGATACCTGGGGGGATCTTCTGGGGAGAACTTATAGCAGCCTCCCAGTGTGTAAAGGGGGGCTTACAGGAGAGCTGGAGACTTCTCAAGGAGTGACAGGAAAAGAGGGAACAGCCTGAAGATGAAGGAGGGCAGGGTTGGATGGGATATCAGGAAGGAATTCTTCCCTGTGAGGATGGGGAGGCCCTGGCACAGGTTGCCCAGAGAAGCTGTGGCTGCCCCAGCCCTGAACTGCCCAAGACCAGGCTGGAGCAACATGGCCTGGTGGAAGGTGTCCCTGCCCGTGGCAGGGGTTGGAACTGGATAATCTGTAAGGTCCTTTCCAACCCAAACCATTCCGTGATTCCACGATCTCCTTCCTCCACCAGCCCCAGCCTGAGGTAAGGCGCTGCTTTACCGAAGTTGTGGTCTTGACACGCAGCACCTGAGCTGTGGGTCTGCTCACTGCCTAATTCCTGAGCCAAACCTCCATCCCAAGGGGCTCCAGAGCCTGCCTGTCCCTCCCTGTCCTCCCTGTGCTGTGTGACTTTGCCAGCACAAAAGAGGTTGTGAGCAGAGCTATCTTTATCTCCTCCTTGCAGCTTCCCCCTCGTTCCTCAGCCAAGCTGCCTGTGCCAATCCTAATTAGCTCCTGTCTGCCGGGGAAGGAGGCAGTTCTGTCTGGAATTTCACTGGATTCCCTGGTCCCTGCCACCCACTCCTGGTGAAACACATTCAGGTGGCACACAAAGGGCTGTGTAATTTCTTTTCCCCCCCTCGCACAGATTGGAACACCCCTCGCTCCACCTTCAGCTTGCTGTAACACACATGATGATTTCTGTCTCTCTGTCTCTGTCACCTGCAGTCCCCCAGAGCCTTGAAGCAAATCCTGGGAGGGACACCCTGTTCAGATCCATGGGATGTGCAGAGCCAGGTGCTATTTTCCCTCCATGAAGAAGAGTTAAAACAACACGACAAGACAGAGGAAGAACTAAATTAAACAAGAGCTAGACAGAGTCTGCTTAACTGAACACCACTAGGACTGGCAGCAGGGATCTTTCAGGCTTGGGGACAGTGCCAGGAGACCCTACAAGTGCTCACCCGGCCCCGTTCCACCTCCTTGGTGGTCATGACAATGACGTGGGTGTTCTCCTGGTACACCATGGCCCAGAAGTCGTTCACAGTGGTCTGCAGGCAGCCCTGGGTGGCTATATAGACCTTGCAGTGCTCCGAGCTCCTTCCATCTTCAGGGATGCTCTGAGGAACAAAGAGGTGTGTGGGGAGGAGAAAAGCCATGGAGTGAGGAGCCAGGAATTGCTTTAGCAGCATGGTCAGCACATCCAGCCACGCAGGATTCCTAAACCAGCTGATTTCCCTCCGCTTCTTCAGCCACTCTCATCACCAGCTTCAGCAGAGCTGTCAGAAAACGCTCTGCCAGCCTCCAGGGACCTTCCTCCTGCTCTAACACACACTGCTGTGCAGCAGATCCTTCCTTCCCAGCAGGGACTGCTGATGTTTCAGGTGGATGTGGCTGGAATGAAGCCACTCTGATGGTTTCCCAAAGGAGGGTGTGTAAGAGCCAGAGCAGCATTGCTGGAAATGCAGCTTCAAGCAGCTCTTGGCTGAGAGATAACAATTTCAGAGATAATGTTCAGTAGCTGAAAATCAGGGTCAGGCCCCTGGGACAATCTGAACAGGTAAGGAAAGGAGGGGATGGAGATAAACCCTCAGACAGGGCAGGGTGGAATGATGAGATCCCTTGGCACACAGCAGGAAAAAAATCCAGTGTTTGGCCTGGATCCAGTGAAAAGAGACTGATCCTGAGAGGTGATTCCCCCTAAACTCACACAGAAACAGTGCTGGGCTGAGGGGCAGCCCCACGTGGGGTCCCCCCTTCCCCAGGTACCTTGATGTAGTTGGCATTGATGTAGTCTGAGCCAGGCACACTCTCATCCACGTCCCTGAGGGCCACCCGGGTGGTGTCAACTGCAGGAGGAGAATCCAGGATGAGCAGGAGCCGCACAGGCAGGAGCAGGGAGGGGGCTGGGTGGACATCAGTGCTACACAGTGGTGGAGACTGACCCCAGAGCAAGTTTTCCAGTGTTTCCTTTGGAGGCTCACAGAATCAGCAGGAAGGGGCCCACAAGGATCATCCCATCCAACCCCTGGCCCTGCCCAGGACACTCCAACAATCCCACCCTGTCCCTCAGAGCGTTGTCCAAACCCTCCTGGAGCTCTGGCAGCCTCAGGGCTGTGACCAAACCCTGAGGAGCCTGTTCAGTGCCCAACCACCCTCTGGGGGAAGAACCTTTCCCTGAGATCCAACCTGACCCTGCCCTGGCACAGCTCCATATGACTCCTCTGGATCCAGAGGAGAGCAATTCGCCAGTTTTCCACACCAAATGGCAGAACCAGGTCAAAAAGGGGATGGAGACCACCATGACTTGGACCCCTGCACTAGGACAGGGACCACCTCCTTCCAACCCAGCTCTGATCAGAAAGCTCTGCAGGGTTCCCCAGCCCCAGGAAAGGCTGGAGGAACTGTGGTGGAAAACCCCAACCCCCTGTCCGGTGTCTCCTTACAGGGAAGGATGTTCTTGTAGCGGTTCTTGGCCTTGTTCTCCGGTCGCTGCCCCTCCTTCCTGGGGTACAGGAGCTTGCACTCCTGCTGCTGCAGCATCTGTGGGGACAGAACCAAAGAACAGGCTGTGCTTGGGCACACAAGGCGAGTCAGAGGCAAGGGAAAGGCTCTTTGGACTTCCTAATGCTGGGAAGAGCAGAGGGAGTGCTGGCAGGAAGGGAAAAGCAGCCAAGAAGCAGCTTGACAGGGAGAGTTAACGGGGGGAGAAGGCACAAATCCCTGCAGGGAACAGCAGGGATAAGGAAAGAGAAACTGCCACGGGAAAGAGCAGCTTAAAAGAGGAGCAGCTGAACACAGAAAACAGGGAAAGAGCAGCTTAAAAGAGGAGCAGTTGAACACAGAAAACAGGGAGAGGAGGAAGCGTTGAGAAAAGGTCCTCAGTGCTGGAAAACCACGATGCTCCCCGAAAAATGGGATATTCCTCACCCACAGGCCTAAGTAGGACAGAGCAGGAGAGCATCCCATACCTCAAACTCTTCCCAGAATCCCTGCTTGGCCTTCTCACTGTGATCTGCCATTTTGTTGAGCTCCTTCACCCTGTTCTCGATGTTGGCCGCGTTGATGCGCGTGGCGTTGAAGGGCTGGAAGGTGGAGACAGGACACAAATCACCCCCAGGAACAGGGAAAAAAACTCCCAGTTCCCAAATCCCTGGGGTGCTGGCAAGAGCTGGGGACCATTCCTGGCACCAGGGACCTCTGGTAAGTGTGAGCCTGGACGAGCAGGATGAGCAGCCAGCGGGATGTTCCAGATGGGAACAGGAGTTCCCAAAGAGCAGGGGGTAGATCTGTGCGCTCCCCCAGGAGTTTTTACCTGCTTCAGGTGAACCACAGCTCCAGACTTCTCCACCATGGGGTTCTTCTTGTAGTGCTCCACCAGGTCTGTGAGCGTGTCAAACCTCTCTCCTCCCCCCACGTCATACTTCCCATCCAGCTGCAAGAGAAGACACCAAATCCACTGAGACCCAGCTTCCAGCGGGATCCCCTGACCCCATGGGAGCAGGGACAGCCCCTCTCCCCACCTGGTAGTGGATCATCACGTGGGTCACGTGCGGTTTTCGGTCCCCAGTCTCCATCTTGTCCTCATTGGTCAGCACCGACAGGACGAAGTCTCCCGGTTTGCTCTGGCTCTCCCTCACCAGGAAACTTCCCGGCTTCCCCTTCTCCGTCAGCAGCTTCTCCGCCTCCCTTCCCGTGAGGTGCCCGTGGTACCACCTGGGGAGCAGCAAAGCAGGGCAAGTTCACCCCAGGAACCTCCCTCAGGCCAGGGGCTGCCGGGGGGTGGTGCTCGTAGAAAACCCGTTCCCGGGCTCCCAAATCCGACTGCTCGACCCGCTCGGGTTTTATTTCGGGAGCAGTCCCCGGTGGCTCCAGCTCCAGCAGCCTGCAATGTCACATCCATACCTTTTTCCCCAGGCTGCAGGTGGCAGGACTTGGCTGGGTCCTGCAGGCAGATGTGACGTGGCAGCAGCGTGTTCCACTGCCACGGGGGAAATTGTGATGGGGCCCTGCCCTCGAGGGACAGGCTCTGACACGTGATTCTCACGGTGCTTTCTCGAGGGTGGCTTTTTCTTTAGCTTTTAATCATTTTTAATTTGATTTTTTAAAAAGGGGGGTTTCCATTTTTCCAGGGTTTCTGCTCACAGGGGGCTGCTTTTCACACCACAGGGAGCAGAGAAACCTCCCTGGCAGCCAGGGAGCACATGAGCTGGAGGGACTTCCCAGGGCTCACATGACCCTCGGAGGGCAGAGCTCTGCTGCGTTTTGGGAACTGAAAGGAGTCATGGCCATGAAGGCAGAGCTGTGAGGAGCCTGTGCCAGCCTCCCCCTTCCCAGCATGTGACACTGGGGGAGCTGAGGGGGAGGAAAAGGAAAAAAAAGGGGTCACTGGAACATCATATTAAGTTCTGGCTTCTTTAACTTTACTTAAGCCTTGTTTAATTTCAGTTTTCTTTGCTAGTCTTTCCCTCACAAAGAGCTGCTGATCGTGATTTTAACTTCCCAGCTGTCTGTAAGAATAAGTAACCTACAGACTAGGAAAAAAAAAAAAAAAAGCTTTAGCGATAAGAGTCACAAGCTGAAAGGACACTTTGGTTTGGAGCACAAACGAATTCTCCTTACAAGACACTGTTTTCCTCGCCCCAACATCCTCCCTCCAACACCCCCTCCTATTATCATTACAATAAAAAGTAAGAGTTGTTTCTGCTGTGACTTTTGGGATTAGCTGCAGGGGTGTTTGCGTGTCTTTAAAAAAAAGGGTTTGCAAACACTTCAGATGAAGACAAACAAAACAGCTCTTTCAGGGAACTAATCTGCTGTCAGATAAAGTGGTGTCATTATATGCCCCCAGACGAAGGGGAGGGAAAAAAGGGTCATTAATCAGGTGGAAACAGCCTGAAGCAGCCCAAGGAGAGTCATCCATCCCTGCAAGACAATCCTTGCTGGGATGAACGGGGGCTACAGGCTGAGATGGGGTGGGGGAAACGCTTCCCTTGGGGGATTTCTTGCCCAGGGGGACAAATCACCTGTTGTAGGTGTTTTGTTTCCTTTGGAAACAAAGATGTGGGACTCTTGGGATACACCTGCAGGGTTCTTTGTGGACGGATTCACTCTGCTCATATTGGATGGGGCTCTGAGCAACCTCATCCAGTTAAAGTAAATGCCACCTGGGAAGAAAGCATCCCCAGCACAGGGCAGGGCCGTGGGAGAGGGGGGGGGTTACCTCTCCGAGGTGGGGTCCTGGCAGTTCAGAGGGTACTTGAGCTCGATGACGTTGCTGTTCTTCTCCCTCAGCAGCCCCTGCTGCTCGGTGTAGTACTGCACCAGCTCTGCCAGGGTGGCAAACTTCTCACCCCCATACAGGTCATAGTAATCCCCCGTGTTCTGGATCTTGATGTGGGTCACCTCGTCGTTCCTCCTGAGGGGAAGGAAAGGCAAAAAAAATCCATCAGCACGAGGGAATGGGAACCCCCAGGGCCCAGCTGCCTCCTGAGCACCTTAGGGTGTCCTTAAAACAGCCCTGACTTGCTAAAAAGCACTTCATTAATGAGAATCAGCAACTCCAGTTCGCTCCTGGGTGCTTCGTCTGGCCTCGAGATGATTTCCAGTTCGTGCCAATCCGGTGACAACCACCGAGTGTGAACAGGCAGAGACAGCATCCTTGTCTTCCCATCATCCCATGTTAACAGCAGAATAAAACCAGGAGAACGCTGACAGTCAGGTCTGAGGTGGGAAAAGCTGCATCTGGAGCCTGAACAGTCACGCTGCACCTCGGGAACAAGGTCTTGGAGACGGAAGCCAACCATCTGTAGCAGGGGGAGCTGCAGAGTGGCACTGCTGGGTGTTCAGAGAGACACGGATAACTCCCCCTGACACATCTGCCCTGGCTGCCACCCCAAACCCAGCTGTTCTGCGGGCACAGACTTCGAAGTTTGGCAACACTCGCACGCAGGGGATGAGCGGAGCTCACTGGATGGGAATGAGAACTGGCTGTGAAATTCCCACCCCCACGACAACACTTCTCCTCCAAGAGGGGCTGGCACACCAAGTGCTTCTGCCATTCACAGCAGCAGCTGACCCTGAAGAGCTCTTGTGCAGCCCAGAAAAAAAAAAAAACGGCACAGGCTGTTTTTAACCCGAGGCTCAAAAACCTCCTTTCCTTCCACAGCTCCATCCCCACCTCCCAGCCCCAGCCCAGCCCACAAAGGCTCAGTTCACAGCCCCAGCCCCGAGGCCTGTGAGCCCTCCAGGGATGAAAAGCAGAGAGATAATCGACGTCATTCATCCCCCATCACTCCACCCCGAGCCCTCAAGGTCACTATAAACACAAAGGACAATGATCAGCGCCCGTTTCCTTCCCATGGCCAGGCCTGGCAGCTCCAGACTGGGCACCAAAACATGGGCATCCTGTGAACTGTGCCCTGGGCTCTCTGGCTGGTGAGTTAAAGCACAGAGGAGGTGCCCAAAGTCCCTCAGCTGCCCGTGCTGGAGGGCACGGCCACATCTGGCTGAGCCACACACAGCTGGACAGGGAGGCAGCACTGGTTAAACAGCAGAGCCCCACTTTTTGGCAGCTTCACTGAGAGATGCCTCCATTCCTAGCTAAGCTTCTTTACACCATCCTTAGCTAGATATCCAGGGGGGTTTCTTGATCCAAAATACTCCCACTCGTGAATCTGAGTCCACCAGGCTGATTTTGTTGAAGTAGAACACAGACAGTGACAACAGGACTCACAAAAAACCCAAGCAGACCCTTATTTTTTTGTCACTCCAAGGCAAAAGAACCACTTGAAATGCCAGAAATAACTGCACCAGGTCTTTTCCAACCCAAACCATTCCATGATTCTATAAAATTCTCTGTGATTGCAGGTCTTCACCTGCACCCTGAGTGTATCTGTACTCGTGTTTTGGGAAGGAAAGGAATGCTCAGTGTTAGTGGGGAAATCACTGTGGGAGACTGAGCTCTGAGCAGAGTTTGTTTCCCAGCAGCTCTGTCCTGCATCCACGAGCCAGGATAAGATCTGTTCCCATAAAATATGACCCAATTACCAAATTAACAGGGTCTCTGATGGATGGTTCTCAACTGTCTTGGCATTTCCATTCCTGTTGTGGCCACGGGCCAGGCACAGCTTAGGCAAACCCTCAACATGCCTTTTCCTTTGTTCAAGCTGTTCCCTGGACCTGGCCAGGTCTGCAAGAAGCTGTTCATGTTCTTCAGAAGCGACTGTAAATATTTGGTCCTCTGAGAACGTGCTCTGGCAGATCCCAGGCAAGGAAACACGGGGCACCTGGAGACAAGGGGGGCGTTTCCTGAGTGGGGTCCCACATTTCTCTCCCCCCCACGCAGCCCTCACTTCCAAACTGAGGTTTGTTTTGTGCAAAATCACTCCTACATTTTGAAGTATTCCCTGCCAGAAGCAAACCCAGCACCGGGTAGGCAATGTGAGCTGACACAGAATACAAGACCGGTGAGGATGTGCACAAAGTGCCCATAAACCCTCCTTGCACCCTCCCAAAATCCCCTGACGACCAAACCCTTCTTCCACCACCCAGAGGAGCTTCCCCAGCTGGGGCTGAGTGTGGAAATACCTGCAGGGAGCAGTGCTGCAGCATCTGCAGGGGGACAGGTTTCTCCCTCCAGCCTTGCTCAGTGACTCTCCTCTGCTGAAGCTGCCAGGCCACTTCCCTCCCTCCCCGCTGATGAGCTCCAAATCAGCGCCCGAGGATGAGCCAATAAATCCACTTTTGGCCCGTGGTTTGGCCTGGGAGCAGCTGCCAGCAGCTTGGATTGGGAAGGAGGGAGGACAGAAGGGAAGAGAAAGCAGCCACAGAGCTAAGCCATGGAAAACTTTGCAGAAATCCTACAACTATTCTCTCCCTGCCCCTCCTCGGGGACATGTGTCTGGGCACTCACCAGCACATGGTGTGTGGTCTGCTCAGCCCAAACTCCAGCCCCTGCCTTCCTCCCAGCCCACATCCTCTCCAGAAGAAGGAAAGGGAGCTGCATTTCCCCTCCCTGCCTTTCAAAAGCCCTGGGAGAAGTTGAGGGGGGGGGGGGAGGTGGTTTAAAAGAAGGAGGAAAAGGGTTTGATTGTTTTCCTGAAGGTACTTTCTCCTACTGACACCTCTATTTCAGGCACTCTTTCCAAGGTATCTGTATTGTTTCCTTTGAAAACCTTTTATTTCTCAGAAAGGAAGAAATATATATATATATATATATAGACCTGTCCAGTTCAGAGATAAAAAGAATAATAAAAGAGCTCTGTCAGGATATAATTCTAGATGAGAATAATAACACATTGTTCCACCTTTGTCACCGGGAAAGGGGGAAGATAACTGCCCAGGCTTTCAGCTCTGGCAGCTCATAAAGCTTCTCATTCTCTACTCTATTAGATGTTGCAGCTCAAATTTCCAAGAACATCGATGCACTCTTTTGGGGCCGTCACCAGTGGGGAAAGAGTAGATGAGATTTAGATTTCATTTTTTATATATTTCATATATTTCAAATATTTCATCTATTTTATCCATTTATATTTTATATATTTTCTATAATATAAAATTCTATTCCTTTATATTTTATCTATTTTATCGATTTATATTTTATATATTTTCTATAATATAAATTTCAATTTCTTTATATTTTATAGACTTTATCCATTTATATTTTATATCTTTTCTATAGTATACTTTTATATTTATTTATATTGTATAGATAGTATCTATTTATATTTTATAGTTTGTATAGTACATATTTATAGTTATATTTTATATATTTATTTTTATTGCACAGGGTTTATCTATTTATATTTTATATTGTATATAGTCATGTTTATTTTTATGTATTTATATTTTATATATTTGACGATTTATATTTTTGTCATTTATACTTTCCATATATTTTTTTTATATCAGTCCATTTTATTTTTCTGTTTCACTCAGATAAAACATGAGCCAAACTGGCCCAGCAAACCACCTCGCTGCAGGGCACCACTCGAGCACTAATTGGCTCTATTTATGGCCAAAACAACGTCGTTATTAAGCATTTACCGCAACCCTGATGTCTCCCTGTGGTAGGAAGTGGTCCGACCCCCCCCCGACAATCTGACTCTCCCTTCCTCCCCGCTCTCTTCTTTCTGCACAGAGAAAGCAGGAGGGGGTAAAGAAATAAAGGAATTCCACACCAGGACCCTGTTGCACAGCACAACCTGCACTGCCCCGGCTCGGCAGGGGCTGCCAGGGCTCCCCTTCCCCAGCACACAGCACCCTGACTCAGGGGATCACGTGCGAGGGGGCTCTGAGCTCACGGGGACATCACCCCCACAACACACACACACACGTATTTCCTCACCAGGAGTTTATTTTCCATTCTAATTAGAAGCACTTCCTGCCTCTCTCATTAACTCGCAGCCACTGCTGATGGCGAGATTACCGGGGAGCCAGTGAGGTCACGCTCCCCACCCTGCCAACGCGCAGGAAAACCTGGAGTTCTTCCCTTTCCACTTGGAATTCTTCCCTTTCCACCTGGAATTCTTCCCTTTCCACCGTGGGTCTCCGTGCCCTGAGAGGCTGTGGGCAGTCAGAGCCCTGGGAGGGGCAAAGGGTCGGAATTCTTGGGATGGATCTCCCAGCACTAAAGGAAAACATCGGGCAGTGCAAACCCTCTTTGCCAAGCTAAGAAGGGACAGCCCTGGGCAGAAAGGGTGAGAGGAGGGCAGGGTCAAGGGACAGTTGAGAAAAGGGAGGAGAAATGAGGCCGAGAGGGGTTTAATCCAAGTGGTTAAGGCAGCAAGGAGAGGGGAAAAGCATCAGCAGAGCCACCGGGCATCACTCCCGTGGGATGTGCCATCACGGTGAGGTTCAGGTGTTCCTGCCAGGTGGAAAAACTCTGCCCAGCCTGTCCTTTGCACGGAGTTTCTCCAAGCACAGCGTCGGGTGAAGGGATTTATGAACTCCCTGGAGTTTCCTGAACAAAACGAGGGTTGTTTGAACTGAAGGGAAGCCGCCACAAAAGGGAGGCCCGTGTTACAAAACAGGCCAGTGTGCCTGGGGAAGCCTCTGCTGAGCTATTTCCCTGCCAGGCACCAGCTGGAGGGTGCTGATGGAAAGAAAGCTCGTGCCTTGAAGCCCCTGCTTTCCTCTCAGGGGCTCTCACTGGGTGATGTGACTCTTTACCTTTTTTTACCTTCCAGAGAGAGGTGGTTCTGCTCCACTGCACACCTTAGGATGCCCTTCAGGGGCTTCCACTCACAAAGACCACTGACAGAACTGCAGCTTTCCTCCTCCTGCCGTTGCCTTGGTCCCAAGGAAAACAGGATGAAGAGGGATGAACAAAGCAGCTTCACACGGTACCAGAGAGGCGGCCTGGAGAGCTCCACCCAGCCCCTTGCCCCCCTCCTCACCTGCCTCTTACCTGACAGAGAGGGTGAAGTCCCCGGGGTTGCTCTTGCTGGGGCGGGCCAGGAAGCTGCCATGGACACCCCTGGTCAGCAGGAGCTTCTCGGCCTCGATTCCGCTGATGTTGGGATGAAACCACCTGTGGAGTGCAGGAGGGACACGTGAGGGAGTGATTCACCTCAGCCTGCCGTGCTTCCACCTGCAGGCACAGCCTGGTCCCGTCCATCTCTCCTCACCCTCCTGCCACGCAACAGGGAAAAGGGAAATACAGACAGCTCACCCCGAGGGGGGGAAAATGTTTCATCATTTTCTGTGCTGCTTTAATGCAATCTTTGTATTTTAAGCGTCATCAAACCACCTCCTGATCTAATTTCTGTGCTATCAGTCGCCATCAAGTTTCCTTGATCACAAGAACTGGTGTTTCCCCAGGCTTTGATGAGTACTAAACATGCACATTACACCAACGATTCCCCACGTGGCACCAGTTTTACAGCTCCTTTTTTTTTTTTTTTTTTTTTTTTTTTTTTTTTTTTTTTTTTTTTTTTTTTTTTTTTTTTTTTTTTTTTTTTTTTTTCCCCCAGAAGCTGCTGAAAATCCACTTTCTAAATGCCAGGCTCTTTTGAGTAATCTCACAAGCGCCGCACAGGGCACCCCAAAACGAGAGGGCACCCGATTCTGAAAGTATTGCTCAGCTTTAGGTCACCCTCCAGCAGGCATTTCTGCACGGCACTGATGGAACATTCCACATGAGCAAAGAGGAGATGAGCCACAATTAATGCTGGATGGTGACAAGGGGCTGGGGTTTTTTAGAGTAGTTTTGGGGCAGCACCAGCTGCAAGAGAACTGGCTGCACAGTCAAACCCTCCTTCAGAGGAAAGGACGATTTAGAGGAGTCCCTGGAGGTCTGAACCAAACAACTAAAAACTGCAAGGTTTAGTGTTCCAAGCAAGTGAAATGAGGGTTTTCAGGAGGAGAATATCTGGAAGCATTTAGTGAGCTGGTTTCTGGGATACAGCCGCCCCTGGGTCAGATTTAACCAACACGCTGTGTGTGTGTCCCCCCCCAAAAAAAAGGGTTTGCAAGTTCATCTCAGTGGAGGCAGAGAAATGCCTGAGCCTGTGTTCGGAAATACATCCAAACCCACCCTTCAAACAGAGTGTGTTTGTCTCTGAGGTACACACAGAAAAGGTCAAGAAATGTCACCATCTCCTCCACAATTTGGGATTTCCTCCCAGCCACCACAAACCAAACAGTTCTGACTGCAGGTCCTTGAATTTCTGCACTGGGAGAGGTGTATTAGGGAAGGGCCGTGGAAACAGATGGTAAACAGGAATCCCAGCGTTTCCAAGCCTCTATTCCTGACATCCCACAAAGTGACACCCTTTCAGAAACCCACTGTCTGCAGGGCCAGCACTTAACTGGGCCCCTGAGCTGCTCCTGGGGGAGGATGGGATGCTCTAATGGGGCTTAATGGAGCTCAGGGACACCCTGGGCTGCCAGAGGCCACACACAGCATTCCCACTGAATGCTAATGGCAGTAAAAGCAGAGTGGCAATGCTGGGCCAGGAACAGCAGGGGAAAACCCAAGGAAACAGCTCTGGTAATGAGAGTGGGGTGAGAGCTCTTGGAGATGCGGACACACCAGCTCTGGGAACATCCCAGCCTGTGGGACAGTGCCCACAGCCCTCAAAGGCTGCCCCAAACTCCCTATGGAAACACAGGTTATCCTGGGATGCTCAGCTGGAGCCAGACCTGGGGGATGCTGAGAACAGACCCCTCTGTCAGTGCCAGAAGAGGGCAGAGGTGCTGGGGCTGTAAATATTCCAGCATCCAAGGCAACAGGATCCCACAAGGAACAGGCAACAGTTATGTCCAACCTCCCTCCTCCGTGGGAGGACCACAACCCTCTTCCTTTTCCACTGCAGCAGCTGTTGGCCACAGCCACAAAATCGACTCACAGGTCCCTTTTCAGCCTCTTTTTCTCAACTTTCAACACTCCAAGAAGGAAAGCAGCTAAAGAGGATCCAAACAAATCCCCACGATAGGGGGAAAAAAAGTCCATTATTGATATCAGGCCATGTTTTGATGTCAGCAAATAATAAGCATCACTGTGCAGTGGGTCACTCAGGCCAGGGCTCGATGGCTTTTTGCAGGACTGAGTCACCTATTCCAGCACCAGCAATCGTGGGCACAGGTCAGGCAGAGGTGGGTTTATCCAGCTGGGATTTATCCACTTCCACACAAGGAAAACCCTTGATGTTGAGGCCAGGCATCCCCCCCACCCATGCACCACAAAAAAAAATCCTCTTGACTGATCCAAAATAACCCACAACCCCTCAGCTCCAGGTAAATCAGACACGGGTGCCTCTGGCTTCAGAACAGCAGCAACAATCCAGCAGAAGCCCTGGAAAAGGAGCTCTTTCTCCACGTTAAAAATTTATCAAATAATTTCTCTTTAATTGCTAAAGAGTCATCGTTTCCATGCGCTGTTAGTCATTTCCTCCCTCACATGAGCAGGAATGCTTTCTTCTGCTGGAATGCATCCCTGTGCTCCTGTCTTGGGATGAAACAGGATAAATAGTTGAGCAACACTGTTACACCCTTAAGAAATCCCAAAAAAAACCAGGCAGTTTTAAAAGCCTGGCCAGGAATCCTGTACCCCAAACTCTAAATGGCCCCAGCAAACATGCCACAAAGTGGATAAAGGAGAAAAAGCACCGTATCCAAAAGGATACTTGAGGAATGGAGCAGAATGTGGCACTGGGGAAGCAGGGTGCCAGCATCCTGATCCAGAGGAACTCTTGGAAATGACTGTCCGAGGTGCCACAGGGGGATCCAGCTCCCAGCTGTGCTGGGATGATCCTTTAACCCACGGGTAATCAACAAAATTCCTGAGTGAGGCCCCGGAGTTGATGGAAGCAAGTTATTCCAGCCCACCCCCTTCCTTCTCCCCTTCTCTCCCACAGCTCAAAAGCTGCCCAGGAGGATCCAGGAGGATGGACCCTGCCCTTGGAGGCAGCCAGGCAAATAATCAGCTGAGGATTTCTCCCCCAGACAAGGAGGTTGTAGGCTCGTGAGGGCAGGTGTGACTTGGGGCAGTGCAGTTCTTTGCAAGGCTAAGTTTCCTGTTCAGCAAATAGGAAAAAAAAAAAAAACAACAAACACTTCAGAGCTGCAGAAGGGATCCAGACACTTCAGATCCGTTCAGAGGGAATGCAAAGATCCATCAGCTTGTTGTGTTGGGCTGTAGGAACCGCTCAGCCCCTCAGCAGGGTGGGTACCAAGCCCTAACCCCTGGAGAGAAGTCCTCTCTCCATGTCTCTCGATATTCCCTTCCTGCACCCACTGCCTTCTGGGTCACTTGGCACATCAAAAATCCAGGCAAGGGCAATTCCCCCTTTCCCCTCAGCAGTCCCTGGAGCACCCCAGCCCACTGTCCTGCTGCAGGACACCCCAGTGATGCTTCCCCCACTGGTGTGAATCCCCCGAAGATGCAGCGATGGAAAGTTCAGCCCACGCCTCTGCCCATCAGCCAACGACCTTCACAAGGGGCGAGGCCTGGTGAGCTGGTGAGACCTGCAGAGCACCCAGAGCTCCTCTGTGTCACGAAGAGGGGTTTCAACTCACCACCCACGCTCTGGTTTGAAGCTCAAACCCTCCCGTCAGCGAGGGTTTCACACCCTGCTCTCGAGAAGAGCCTCTCCACGCGTGTCACGTGCACAGGAACAGCCTGGGCACAGCAGTTTCCATCAAAAAAAAAAAAAAAAAAAGCACCCCAAAACCTGGGTTTAGGTGGGGATTGACTAAACTGCATGGCTAAGAGCAGTTTTATGACTCCTGGAAATTCATTCCGGTGTCAACCCCGTCCCTGAAGAACCTGGAGGAAGGTGCTGGCCAGGCCCACCCTGGGGGAGTTGGGGGGTGGCTTTGGCTGAAGCAGGAAGAGCAGAGTGCACATCCAAACCCCAGAGACAAGCAGGAAAAGCACTCCAGGAGCTTTTTCCTTCCAGAAACGGGAGCAGGCACCACCCTCCTGGCAAGGAGCTGGTGCAGACAGTTTCCATTTACTTGGCTCTGGAGCCTCAGCTGGCACTAATTGTTAATTAATATAAATTCACATCTGTCCTGTCTCCCTGACATGCAGCAGTCTGCACTCATCAGCTCCCCATGATTCAGTCCCTTTATCTAAATCATTCCAGTCCATGCCTGTCCCTGGCACATCTCCCTCTCTCCACGTGCTGTCCCATTCATTCCCTTCCTGGACCCTCCACCCCACCTCCCAAAAGCAGCAGCACGTCCATGACCTTGTCACAGCCTCTCAGCAGAAGGGTTTCGAGTTTTTTGGGTGCCCAAAGCGATGATTTTTTGCCCAGGGAACTAAACAGCTTGTTCAATCCGGCTGAGATCAGAGCAGACAGAAATCACTCTGATGATGAGCACCATGAAAAACTCCTGTCACATAAATAGCAGCCAGTTAAGGGGATGCAACTCCTCTGCCTGGGATGAATGCACAGGAAAACACATCATCTGGAGGAGCTGGCATCTCTGTGGTCCCAGATTTGCTTGGCAAAGCCTGCCAAGGGTCCCCTCGGCCTCTCTGCTGTAAGTTCAAGTCTCTAACAAGGTCCTGATCTGAGCTGGGAAGGGTCAAAATGCAATCACACACAAGTCACCCGTTATCCCTCCAGAGAAACCCTGGCTTATGAATCAGGTGATCAGCTCAAAAATAGCAATTTCCAGGAGAAAAACCCAGAAATTGCAGCACACCCCACAGGGTTGTGAGGAGGAAGCCTGGGTGAACTTCCCAGGGAAAAAAAGGGCACGTTCTTACCCTGCTCTCTAGACACCCTTTGTGACAGCCTTGCTCTGGGTGCAAAAAAGAGAGCTCAAACACTGTTCATATTTCTCCTTTTTAACCCAAACAAGCACTTTCCAGGTGGGGAGGCTGGGACCTCCATAAAGGACCTCACCTGAGCTCCAGGGAGGCTCCTTGTCCCAGCCAGCCCTGGCCAGGGACACACTGCCCAATTTCTCACACTCAGTCACTCCCATTTTAATGGCATCTTCCAGCCCTATTTTAGGGACACAGCTCTGCCTGGCTGCAGGAAAGGCAGGGGAAGCTCAGCAGGTCTAAAGGGAGGTGCTGATTTCCCAGCTCCTTCCCTCAAGCCAAGGTTAGTCCAGGCTGAAGTGGCTGCACAAAGCCTGCTCTCCCCCATCCTGCACACATTCCAGGGCTCTGCCTATCACTGGCACTTCCTCCCAGCCCATCCCACACTCCTGATAGGGGAAAAGCCCCTTCCACCATCACTGCCTTGCGCTGCCCAGATAAAGGCTCGGCAGCCACGAGGAAAGGAAGCCACGGGCAAAATTAAAACCCAGGGCACAAAACCCGCCATCAGCTGCAGACAGAGAGGGCTGAGTGCTCCACAGGGGCAGAGCAAACAGGCACCAGAGCAGCGGTGCGTGACCTGGGCTGTGGGGGCAACACGTGACAGACGTGACAGCGACTGTCACCTGCCCCTGAGCTGCTGTGCCCTCCCACCCACCCCTGCACCCCCAGGGGGGGGCTGAGGCAGCCCAGGGGCTGCAAGAAGTGAGAGGGATTGTGCCTGTGCCACTCTGGAGCTCCCTCATCTCTCCTGGTGAAACACTTGGTCTGGCAGCTCTGGTCTGGGAGCCGCAGCTTGTGGAAAGTCAAGCATCGCTCCAGCTCTTCCCAAGATTTCCCACAGCGTTCCCATTCCCTGTGTGCTCACCCAGTGGCTCTGGGCCTTCTCTCTGGCCAGCTGAGAGGGTGCAGAGGGATTGGGACACAGTGGTGGCCCAGGGGACATTTCCCAGGCAGCAGAGAAAAGTCTGCCCGGCCACTCCACGCTGTGCATCCCTGCAAACCAGAGTGGGCCCCTTTGCCCTTGGATTTGGGAATCCTTGCACCCACATTCCTCAGCTCTAGGCTGGTGAATCCAGGTGTGAAGGAGCTGGGGGAGGAAGAGCATCTCTAAAACCTGCAGAGAAGAACCACTGGGACTTGAAGGAAAGACCACAAGGGGCTGGAACAGGCACCAGCTGTTTCCCTGGGAAACATATTCCCATGGAGCACATTCCCAAGGAGCAGAGGGCTTCCAAGAGGGGCAGCAGCTGAAACTGCTGGGAAGGAGACACCAATTTTGCCCGGCAGTTCTCAGTTTTCCCAGAATGGGAGAGGCAGACCCAGTTTTATCAGGCCAAGGAGTGTTTCAACACCCAGCCATGCTCACCTGCACCAGCAGGGAACTGGCAGCTGGGGCTCCTCCAAGTTGCTCAGAGGATTTACACCCATGTTCTCTTAATTAAAAAAAGGTGTAGCTCAGGCCCTGCAGCTGTTTTGGCAGCATCAGCCCCAAAGGTGTGCGAGGCTCTGTTATTTTTGGCTGCGGTTTTCAAATTTTCTGATTTAATTCTCCGAAACAAACTTGATCTTTAAAGCAACCTTTTCTACTCAAAGGTTATCCCGCTGTTAGGACCACCATAAACACTGAGCTACACTTCAAACTCAGCCAATAATGCCTTACCTACTCGTCTCAAAACCTCTAATAGGAGGAGAAACCTCTTTGGAACTCCCTCCATCCATGGCAGTTTTCCGGCCTGTGCATTAACAGATGGTTTTGTTCTCATAAAGCAAGTCAAAATTAAACTGCAGGCCCACCTGCCAGACAGCTGGAGCATTAAAAATACCTATCAGCAGCCAGCCCCAGCTGCTGTCTGACTGACAGGCTTCCTCCTGGAGCAGGAAAGCATTTGTTTAGCTGCTCTTGCTCCGATCCAGTGAAGCAGAACCGGAGCCATCAGCCCCTTCTGCAAAGCTTGAGAGAGCAGCACTGAGATGAGGGTGGGGCAGGAGCCTTGGGATGCTTTGAGATACCAGGGAATGTGAAGTACCAGCAGGCTGGAGCTGCTTCCATCACCTGGATCCCCGAGGAGGGCTGAGAGCAGCCCATGCCCGAGGGAGGGAGGAAGGAAGACCCAAGGCAGGCTCCACTTGGCACTGCAGGGCAAAGAGCCACTCGCCCAAACGCTCCCAAAGCCTCAAACTCTGCTCCAGGCACGGCCCAGATCCCACCCTGGATCCATCCCCTGCATTTCCAGCCTTCTTGACATGTGCACTGCCTGCTGTGCCTCCCAGCCAGGCAGAGGGATCACTTCCCACTCCATTCCCTGTTCCAGCAGAACTCTTTCCAGCTCACACCTCATAGAACCTTCCCTGCTTTGCAGTTCGTGCCCCATAAAACCTTCACCACTCTGACTTCACCACCCTTCATTTCACGCACTTTGGAGCTCCAAAACCCACCCAGGGGAACGTCCAGCACCCCGAAAATCAGGATGTTCCGACGCCAGCGAGTCACCGAGCCCACGGGAAGAGTGCTCAGCTTACAGACACGAGAGGCAGAGATAAGCCAGAACCCTTGACACAGCAAGGTTAACATGAGATAAAAATCTAATAAAGAGCACAAAGTAACATCCTGCCCGGGCAGGGATAAAAACCTCTCCCGGGCCGCAGTCAGCACCGCGAGCTGCAGTCGCACAAACGAAACTGCTAACGCGCCGTTTCCCAGCGCTGGAGGCAGCACAGGGACGGAGTCACCGGCCCCCCATGTGCTGCAGGGCCAGCTGAGGGAAGTTTCCACCGGAGAGAGCCTTGCCTGTCTGCAGAAATTCGCTCTGTTAATCGTTTCTCCCACCCTGGAGCACAACGCGCCTCCACGGGTGCTCGAGGTTAATCAGCTCCTTTCTGTGCACTCTCAGCGACACCCCTGAGCTCCACACCTTCTCCCCTTCAGAACAATCAGCTTTGTTAAAAATAGAAGCCAGACACACACATACACACACACACAGAGCGGATCTCCTACCTCACCATAACTGGTCAAGGCTCCTGACCCGGCACAGAGACACCGGTTAGTCCACAGAAACCACAGGGCAGCTCAAGGGGCAGGAAGGTTTCGGAGGGTTGGGGAGGTGGGGGGAGCTGCTCTAGGATGCAGAGGGCAGTTTGCTGCCTCCCAGGAACGCTCCAGCCTCCAGCATCCTCCAGGAGCGCCGGGCAGGGCGGCAGAGGCCGCAAAGTTTCAAGTGAAGTGACAGCGAGTTATTTACTCAAAAACAACCCGGCTTGCTGTGGAAGGGAGCAGGGGTGGGGAGAAGAAAAGGAAGTCATCTCGTTCTCTTATCGGCAGCGAGGCAGCAGCTGTGAGTGGAGTGGTGAGCAGGGGATGGTGAGGGCAGCCACCACCAGGGCGTGACGACATCTGCCTGTCAGCTCCCTGGGCAGCCAGGGCTGAAGGAGAAGGAGAAAGAGCCACTAACGGGCAGAGTTCTATTCCATGGAGCTCTGGGCACCACTTCCTACGACATCTTTCTCCCCCCCACCCTTGCGAAGCAGCTGCAGAGTTTTCTGCTCCAGACCTTCTGTGCTGCAGGGGTGTCATCACCTGAGAGAAAGTAGCGAAGGCATTATTGGCCGAGTTTGAAGCGTGGCTCGGTGTTTATGGTGGTCCTGACCAGGCAGGGACACATCTCAGCCACCCAGCCCAGGTGCCTCAAGTCAGGCAGCCCAAGCACCTCCAATGTCCAGAGACAACGAGGGAGAGAAAACATCTTTTATTGCCTCACGTGGTATGAGTGGGACATTCAGACAAGCCTTCAGGCACACGGACCTCTCCCCAGACCACCCCTGTGATGACAAGAGGACGACTGCGCTCTTCCAAACCGAGCCCCCAACCACCACTGGCCTCCCCTGTCTCGGCTCAACGAGCTGGGGAGGAAGAGCACAACACCCAGTGCTGGTAAATTGGGGATCACTGCGGCCCTGCAGCCACACGACTGGCCAAACAGCCCCCTCCTGCCTCATCCTGCAAGCCCCTTGCGTCACCAGCTTCCCAGGGCAGGAGAAAGCAGAGCTGGGAAGGCCGTCCCCGGGCTGGCAAACAACTAAATACCCATCAATCAAGGTATTAAATGGCTGGGAATGCGGCTGCCTCTGCAATCCTGAGCGTTTAGTCCATTATCCCGCAGACACTTAGCACAATTATGGTTGCTTTGTGGCGAGCCTTTAATGTGCCAACAGAGCAGCTGAGGCACGGAGCGAGATTTAGGGATCAGCAGATCTCCACCTCAGAGCAAAGCCCGGCACTCTGGAGGTCCCAGCTCGCTGCAGAGACTGGGAAATGCTGGGCAGGGCTGGTCCCCCAGGGCCCAGCAGGGATGGGGAGCAGGGGGTGAACAGCACAGAGCTTGGGCACTTTGAGGGGTTAATCCCACTCCCAGAACAAGAGCTGGGCTCCTCATCCTGCTAAAAGAGGAAGAGCAGCTCTTACACTCCAGGAGGATGCTCAGATCCTTGTTTTCTCGTGCCGGTATCCATGTAATGCCCACGACAATTCCACCACCCCAAACATCCACCAGCCTGTACAGCAGTCACTAAACATCACCCCAAAGCAGCAATGTTCCTGCCAGAGTTTTCAGTGGATTTGGTTTGATTCTAGCACCCAGAAACAACTGAATTTCGCTCCATCTTGAAGACAGGCAGAGGTGTCAGAGTAAGAATTATCCAAAGCCATCTCCAGCCTGACATTCCAGCTGGAGCCTGTGAGGAAAAGTGCTCCAGAAGTGCCAGGGAAACACAGGGAAAGTGGTAACAGAGGAGCTTTGGAGACAGCAAAGAAGCCTCAAAAAACTTGCCTGTGGGAAAGGCAGTGCTTGGAACTGGCTCTGGAGCTCTCCTTATCCCTACAATGCAAGCAGGAGGTGGATTTCTCCTGAGCTTAGCCTACAGTTAACAGGTCAGCTCTTCCAAAGACAAAACACCCAAGGAATAAAACCACATCCTCTCTCCCTGTCACCATTCCAAGGCTGAAAGCAGCCCTGGAAACACAAGGAAGAGCTGAACTGGCGTCCAACAATCGAGGGCAGCAAGTGGTTTCACAACTAGAACAGGACTCGCCTTTGTTCCCTGCCAGCACTTCCCTCCAAACCTGAGCTTTTAAATACACCCCAGCTTCCTATTTAGCACTCAGACACTCCTCCTCTGCCCAACAGGCAGACAGTGCAGATGCCAGAGATAACAGCTGCAATGATACAGCAGAAAGGGAGGAAAGAATAAAAGGAGGTTGATCCTGGTGGAGCTTTGAATCCCCTCCGGTGTCCCAGCGTGTTGGGATGCAGAGCCCTCCTGGCATCACAGCCTGGGGCTCAGCACTGGGGGAGCAAATACGGGGCCACAGCCTCTGTCTCCCAAAAATCCAGCAGTGTCCAACCCAGCTGGCAGCTTTTGAGGCATCTGAGCAGCAGCCAGGGGAAATTCCAGCCCGTTTTCGCTTTGCACCGGGCTGAAGAACCTTAATTGTGCCGTGGCTTGTGCCCTGAACACCCAGCTGGAGCTTTAAGGATTGCAGGAGTCTGTTCAAATCCCAGAGGTCCTTTGCACCCCTCTTCTTCCTGAGGGCAGGAAGGGCACCAAAACCAGCCACTTCCAACCTAGTCAAGCCCTTCCAAAGCACACCTTCCTCACTGAGCTGCGCTGCTGGAGGGGCACACAAGTTCCTCTTAGCTGAGAGGGCAACACTGAGAGTTCCCACAGCTACAGCAGCACAAATCCTGACCCCCCCCTGTGCCCAGCCCTACCTAGAGCAGGGTTGGAATCGTCCAAGATGGGTTGGTTCAACACAGGACATTGCCACTGCAGCACATCCTTCCCTTGCCCAGGCTGGAATAAGCCCTGACCAAAGACGTTGCAGGAAGTGGGAACTGCATCCATCGACCAGGTTATGACCAAAGGGCAAGAAGAGGCTTGAAAACACATGCAGCTGCTCCTGTTACACTGCCAAGACAACCCCCAGGACAACCCTGAGACCTTCCAGGGAAAGGGCAGAGGGAAGGAGGTCACCCTGGCAAAGGCACAGGCAGAGCAGGTGCCCCACGGGGCAGTGGTCACACCTCAGTGCCCCGTGGCCAAAGCTCAGCTGGGGTTGGTTCTTTAGGTTCCTCTGCTCCATCTGGTGGTTAGAAAGCTTTTAAAGCCGTGTAGGGCAAACCTGGGCTGCTCCACATGTGGCCTCTTCGTCTTCTGGGCTCTCTGGCCAGAGAGGCTGAGGAGAAGCTTGGGCTGAGCAAGAAGGTTCCCCAGTGAGGGTGGCAGAACATTGGCACAGGAGAAGCTGTGGCTGCCCCATCCCTGGGAGTGTCCAAGGCCGGGTTGGGGCAACCTGGGCTACTGGAAGATGTCCCTGCCCATGGCAGGGGGTGGCACTGGATGGTTTTTAAGGTCCCTTTGAACCCAAACCGTCCTGTGACTCCACCAACCACTTTGGTGAGTGCAGAGAAACACTTAGAGAGAGCAGAAAGCTGAATGTGAGGGGATCACCTCCCAGATCAGACAACCCAGGTCACTGTGAGTATGAGAACCTGGAGAGCCAGTCGGGCTCCCAGTGCAAACCACGAGGATGGGCACGTTCTGCAGCAGCAGCAGCACTGGGGCACCCCAGAGAAACGTTTTGGGAGCAAGAAAAGCAGGTAGGGCCAGCAGCCAGCACCTGACTGCAGCATTTGGCTCCTACTTTTCCTGTTGGATCTGTAGGATAACACTTAGGCATCCCAGACCTGAGCTGCAGGAAAGCCAACGTGTTGCAGGAGGGCAAACAACTTATTTTTAGGACGATGCCAAGGGCAGGAAAACCCCTGAGCCCAGAGGAAAACCAAAACCAGCCCCCAAGGCAGCAGGAGGAGTGGGCAGGGGCTTTCACCGTGGACCAGGACCTTCCTCATTCAGCAGGTTCCCTTCCCAGCAGCACCACAATATAAATAACTAAGTAAGTAAGGCAAGAGCATCTCGGCTTCCCCAGCTGGCACCGGGGCCGGCAGCAGGAGAGGAGATTCCTGCAGCGCTGTCCTCCCTGCCCTGACACACAGCACCTTTGCCCCAGCCCCTGGCATCATGTGCATCCTTGCTGAAGGCCAGAAACCCTCGGCTTTCAAGGATTATATAACCCAGTGAGCTAATTAAAAACGAGGGGTTCTATTTCTGACCCCGGGCAGGGTGACAGGACCAAAATAAGGCCCATAACGGGCCCAAGTCCCCTTTGAAGAGTGGCCAAGGGCTATTTTTTACCTCGAGACACATCACGAAGAACTGGAGGGAGGAAAAAAAAAACAAAAAAAAAAAAATACCAGGGTTATTTTTAGAATTTAATCAGTGGCAGAGCTCGTTGCATTTCTTCGATGGGAGTATTTCGGGAGGGTGGGAGGAAGAGGGGGAGCAGACAAACAAACAAACAACCTACCCCCCCCCAAAAAAAAAATATATATAGGACAAATATAGCCCTGGCAACTCCCTCACACGTAGGGATGCTGCTCCAAGGGCATGAAGGGGATTTTTTTTTTTGGTGCTGTTTTGAAATTAAATCTTTGTCACCTTCCCGCCCTCTTGAAGGGTCACAGGACACATCCCGAGGGATGGGCTCTCCTCTGCCTGTTATCCCAACTCCCAACCTGCTGTTCCAGGGGCCTGTAGCTGGAGGAGCTTCCCAATTCCAATGGTCATCCTGGAGGGAGCATCCAGCAGAGCTGATATTGCTGTTGCTCACCCTCCTGCCACTCTGAGCAGGTTTCTCCTCCGTCTCTCTCGCTGAGAATACTCCATTTTTATAAACACCTCAACAGCTCCTTGGAGCAGGGGGGAAGTCAGATGTTCTACCTCCTGCCTGTGCCCTGCTCTTATTTTTAAGGCAGGATTTTTTTATTTACCCTTGTTTTGCCCACTCAACCAGGGCTCTTTTACCCCCTCTTGGCACCCAGGGTGCCCACCTCCTCCAACCCACCAAGGAGGTGCTCAGTGCTGCTGCCCATCCCACAGGGCTGAGCTGATATTCAATCTGACCAAAAAGGGAACTTGGAAAACGTGTTAATCTCTCTCTCTTCCCATCGAGCTGTTCTGGTGAGGGCTACTGCAAACCTGACATTT